TGCCATTCTTCTTATGATGTAGCGAGTACATCAAGATTTAAAGGAAGTGTTCCCAGTTCCGGCTGACCTAATCTATGCAGCCTAACATTGAATTATAGAAGTCTATAATGTATTATGTGTATGCTAGGTCAAAGAGATGTGTTTTTAGTCTAGCTTTGAACTGACAGAGTGTGTCTGCTTCCCGGACAATGGTAGGAAGACTGTTCCAAAGTTTTGGTGCTAAATAGGAAAAGGATCTACCGCCAGCAGTCGATTTAGATATTCTAGGTATTATCAACTGGCCGGAATTTTGAGATCGCAATAGACGTGAAGGACTATAATGTGTTAAGAGCTCGCTCAAGTACTGCGGAGCTAAACCATTTAGTGCTTTGTAGGTAATCAACAATATTTTAAAATTTATACGATGTTTAATAGGGAGCCAATGCAGTGTTGACAGAACCGGGCTAATATGGTCATATTTCCTGGTTCTGGTAAGAACTCGAGCTGCGGCGTTTTGAACTAGCTGTAGTTTGTTTATTAAGCGTGCAGGGCAACCACCCAGTAGAGCATTACAATAATCTAGCCTTGAGGTCATGAACGCATAGACTAATTGTTCCGCATTTCCCAATGAGAGCATATGGCGTAATTTAGATATATTTTTAAGATGGAAAAATGCAGTTTTACAGATACTAGACACGTGGCTTTCAAAAGAAAGGTTGGTATCAAATAGCACACCCAGGTTCCTAACCGACGACGAAGACTTGACAGAGCAGCCATTAAGTGTTAGACAGTATTCTGGGTTATTACGTGTGGAAGTTTTTTGTCCAATAATTAGAATCTCTGTCTTTTCAGAATTTAGTAGTAGGAAATTACTAGTCATCCAATTTTTTATATCAGCTATGCATTCCGTTAATTTTGTGAATTGGTAAGTTTCGTTGGGTTTTGAAGAAATATACAGCTGAGTATCATCGGCATAACAGTGAAAGCTAACTCCATGTTTCCTAATGATATCTCCTAATGGTAGCATGTACAGAGTGAACAGCAGCGGTCCTAGTACTGAGCCTTGTGGTACGCCATACTGAACTTGTGATCGATAAGACATCTCTTCATTTACTGCTACAAACTGATAACGGTCAGTTAAGTATGATTTAAACCATGCTTTGGGCTTTAAGAGCCTAAAAAGAGCTCTAAAAAGCCTAAAAACACTTAGCCTCTTAAAGCCCAAAGTATACTTCAGCCCGATTTTTGTGTCCGCGGTGCATGTACAACAGAGCATTTCCGAGTGACTTGAGCACTTGGAAACAAAGTCCACATGCGCCGAATGCATCTTTCCACTCGCACAACCAAAGGAGTATACTTTGAAAGGCTCACGCTCATTAGCGCAGCACCATTAATGCCCTCATGACAAGCCGAAACGGCCATCCAATAAACTTCCAGATTGGAATGGGAGTGACCTTCCTTTGGAAAAGAAATTCGTATCCCCTCAATTGGGCACTGATTCGGCAACAAAGATCTTCGCCTGGCCCAAGCTTCAAATACGCGCTACTTATACGCAACGCACTTCAAAATACAAGTGCTCCATATTGTAGCTACAATCAGATTATCCTTCTCAACAGGTAGGCCCCTAGAGACCACTGTTCAGGCAGAGGGTGCAGAATTTGCCTCCTGCCTGGGACAGCAGGTCCCTGCATAGGGAAAGACACCACGGTGTCCTTAACCGCAACGTCATGATGCTTGCGCACCATGTCTTTGCTGGCCAGAAAGAAGCCACCAAAATCAGTGACAGACCCTCCCCACTGCACCCTTTCCAGGGTAGGCTGTATCAGTTCCCCCGGTGGGAAAGCATACAGCTTGACAGCATACAGTCCTGGGCTATACATGAGACAGGGAATCCACAATCCCATTGACGGAGACCTACGAAATTGTCTGTGCCCGGGTGGACTGTGGCAGTATGCATTGGGCAAATCCACCGATATATGCCAATCCTGAGGATGCAGAGGGTATAACAGGTGACATACTTTAAGCCAGGGTCTCAACCATGTTCTTGGAGCCCCCCCAGCACTGCACATTTTGCATGTCTCATTTCTCAGCCACACCCATCTCTACTAATGAGCTGATGACCTGAATCAAGTGTGTTTGATTAAGGTGACATGCAAAGTGACATGATCTTCCCTGCTTGAAAAATATAGGCAGAGCATTTCTTATCTGCATCCAGCGAGACAAAATCATCCTCCTGACAGTCAAAGTTCTGCTCAGACTCAAGGGCAGCCAGAGAAACCTTGTCTCCTCCTCGGCCTCCACACGATCGTTCCCCAACTCCCTGTGGCCTCCAAAAACGGCGATTGCCTCATATTGATCAGTGAATGGAACAAATCAGTAAACAAATGAATTTTTTTGGTGAATGGATTAAAACAGTCGAGTCATTCAAATGACTCAAAATCCCCTAACATCCAACTCACCTGTTATGCTTGTTGGTTCGACTTAAAAGTATAAGAAGGTTTTGTGTTCTTGAAAGTTGTGAACTTCAGAATAGTAAGTAAACAAAATGTAAGTACGTAATCTAAGAATAATTTTACACTTTTGCATGTCACTAAATCTAAAACTCACTTAATTTTTTTTTTTTTTTAATGACAGCAGACAGTCAGGGTGACGTTCCAGAATTTAATTTTTTAAGGAGTTCGACAATACTTTTTTAGAATAACTGCATCATTGTGACTAACAGATATACTAATAGAGACTAAATAACTCGTCAGCTTGGAGAGTATTTGCAAAAATTACGTTTAGAATATATCAGGCTAGTTTGAAGACTCCATGAGGATAATAGTACCTTACTTTCACCTCACTCTCTATCCCTCTTCTTTCTTACACACTTATGTGCTGAGTAATGGCACTCATGTGACTATGAGAAAGCCTGTGCGTTTTCCAGAAACTGTCAAAATCTAATTCCTGTGAGAAAAGCAGTGCAGTCATGTGGTCCATTAAGAGGACACAAAGGTTCTCAGAGCACTGGTGTCCTCACCCATGAACATCTTGCTTGCATGGCAAATAAATGAACTCAACACTCGCTAGAATCCTCATTCTAACCAACTTTTTGAACTATAGAAAAATTGAGTGCTAGGCACATTATCGATTGAATCTGTGTTCTGAGTGAATTCTCAGAATTTTGGGGTTTTGTAAGGATTTCCAGGAACCTGGTATGAATCACCTTCTCATGCTCTATGAAGAATCAAAGCACAAAACTATAGCCTGCAGAGGCTTGGACGCAAAAAAGCGCCATGCAGTTGTCATGGTGATAACACAAGAGTTGAGTATAGGTGGGAAAAGAACTACAAGGCTGTAATTTGTCTAGCCTTCCCACAGCCCGTTATTCCACCTGAGAGATCACGTTTATGTTGTTATACATGCACTTAAATATAATTGGTGAAAATAACTTTTATGTTAATAATGCTAATCCAGTAAGAATGAAAATCCAGTCAACAAAACAAGAGATTTATTTCACTCTACAGCTTTAAATGTAGACATTATACCACGCATTTTTTCAAGCGAATATGTGACATAGCATAGTAATTCTTCATACTTTGAAACAACTGACAACGTCTCGACAAAATGGCTCACGAACACTTATTTAATGATACAATACAATCCCTAATATACAACACCTCCCACATAGACAAATACGATCTGAGAATAAAAACTCTGTTTGCAGCAGGTGCAGATGGATAAGGCTGTGGATCAATATACACATTAAAGGATTTAAATAAAGCACATGGTGAAGTAGGGAATCATGGGAGATTTATATAATGTCAATGAGTCATACACTGAATCACTGAGAGATGCAGTGAGTGGAATAGGAGTGAAGGGGGGGATGAAATGGAAGGATGGCAGTAGATAAGAAGGGCTAGGGTGTTAGGAGATGGAGTGGATGAGGGAAGAGGTTGGCAGCTCTCTTTTTAGAGATACAGTTTGAAATATCTACTCTCTGCAAACATTTAATAGACATTTATTCTGATTATAAACACTGTAGACATGCAAGCATCAGAATGCAAGTTCAGATCCCATGAATTAAAATGATAAAATTTATCTTAGCATGCCAGTCCACTAACAGTGTCAATAAATATAAAGGATGGTAAAATAAGCATACTACAGAATTTATTTCATAGTGAACTGGTCTAAACACCCCACATACATCAAAACCATAAGCTTTAAGTCCATTTTTTTCAGCTTTGATGTGAACTCCTAAACATTAAAGTTGAAATAAAACAGAAGAAGCGACAGATCTTTTTTTCTGTATTGCGATGTATATTTTCCAAGTGTAACGGAATATCAAAAAAGAAAAAGAAAGTTGGGCGGGGACTTGGTCCATTGGTTGTTGATTGGATGGAGGCAGATCTGAATGCGTGTGGAATCAATTGTAAGAAAGGGGCGGAGTTTAAACAGGCTAAATGATTGAAAAAGTCTGGCATTCATCACCAAAAAGAAGTCTGCCGTTTCAACGGAAGGTCACAATATGACATTTTGATTCAAATTTTCAAGGTCAATTTTTTTTATGAAACACGCATCATGGATGGTTAAAAAGGTTGAATTTTCATTTCAGCCCGACTTTAACAAAGATCAGCTTTTTGCTTTTGAAATGAGCAGTTGTCTCTGATGAGAAATCCAAAGCAAAATATTGATGACTCATCCTGCACTACACAGATATTGGTCCAATCAAATGCTTTTTAGAGTGAGAATGTCGCTCCCACAAATACCACCTGTACCGCCTTGTGACATAACTTAAAGCATAAAGCATAAGTGAAAGAAAGAAAAAGAACAAGCCCTGTGGTACAGTATGTCCTGCTTAAACTTAAAGAGAGAATAAAACTGCTCTTAGTGCAACTTTATGGGGTCTTTAAAAATGTCAGTGAGTTTAGTCAGGAATATAGCTGAAATGCAGATTCAAACCAGTTCTGAAAATATCTTGATGTTGTACATTTTCATTTGACAACCCTAGTCCACCAGAACCAGACACAACTATATTACATACTGATTAAAAGACTTCTAAAAGCATAATCAGCTATATGTCTGTGTCTGACAGAGAGAAGTTCTCATCTCTCACCTTGTGCAGTCAGGCATGCTAGACCAGAACTCCCCAGGTTTTTGATATACAACAACACAAAAAGACTCACTTAATTCACTCACAAAAACATAAGGTGCAGCTTCAAACATGAATACATTTACTCTGTGTGCAAGCTCAAAGTGTCTGTAATTTAATTCTGTAGACAGGTGTAGCTAACGGACAGATCTTTCTGCTGGTTGCGACTTTTTGATGGTCGACAATAGTGCTGGAATCAGAGGGATTCTGATGTGAAGATCTACATCCTCTTCAGTCCAAGGACCACCAATGCTGCTGCCATACATTGCTGCAACCTCCTCTCAAGGTTTGAAACATGCAGAACAGGTCATTTCTTTACCAGAGTTGAGCTGAGGAGAGATGGTATCTGGAACTACTGATTTCAGGATATCGTTCTCACTGGCAATGATGTGTTTAACAAGGAAGTTGGCAGCATCGTTAATGTTGAGGTTTTCCTTAAATTTGAAGAGAGAGAAAGAACATACATGAAACTTTTTTTTTTGACTACCAGGTTTCAAAATGTTCAGTTTGATCATTCGGCAAGGAGACTGTGTTTGATCTCATCTCCCATTGAACTTGACCTGGGAACAGTAATGATTTATTTAAACCCATGAACATGCTCATAGCTGTAGATTAATTTAAGACTGACTGGACTCTTCATTAAGAATGAATGGATAGAGGTTCTAAAATAAATGAAATAAATAAATAAATATATGCCTTTGAAACATCTCAATGGGATTTAATGAGATGGCCTCAGTGTACCAAAAGTCCATTCTCCCGTTTCCCTCGGCAACTGCTCTGCATGTGAGTGGCAGCTGTAATTAGCGTGCAAATATTAATAAGCTTCAATCAGACGCTTTAATTAAGCACTAAAGGTTCTGACAATACAAGTTCTATCAAAAGATATTTGTTAGTATGCTGTCAGTAGGCGAGAAAAGCTATTTTATTGTGGCCTACATAAAGGGGGTCCCCGCTAATCGTGAACGTGATTTCGCCATGTGCAACGTTCAATCAACCAATCAGATTTGAGGGACAAGTTTACAGTTGGTCAAGTTTAGGATTACAATTAGGTTTAGGTGCTTCTACATCAGTGTTATTTACCAATCATTCCCCTAACTTATGGGTAGGGTTAGGACTAAATATTCGGGCAGCCATCACATGGCAAACTCTCTTACTCTCTAGGTAATCCTCCACACACTTTCACAATTGGATTAAATTTATTGTTGGTCCTTTTGCGTGACGCACTATTCACAGCAAAAGGACAAATATGAATTCTAAGACTAATGTTGAATCAGTGAAACAAAAATGTAACCAATGACTTTCCAAAGTAGTACTGTGGCGGTACCCTGGTAAAGTGGTGGTAACAGATGGTAACACCATGGTATTTTATATTTTACATTGTATAGATGATTACTATATTCATAAACCATAGTATTTACATGGTACTCCAAAGAATACCATGCAAAACACCGTATTACCCTGATACCATGTCCAAAAACGTCTCTTTTGTTCGTTTCAATCCCATACATGAATACACTTAGTTAATATAGTACAGTGGCATCTGGCGTATATAAAATTATGGTATGGTATTAGAATCTAAAACCCTCACTATGCCATGATTCGGTATATTCTTAGTAAGTGTGTGAACACAAACATTCTCTGTCATTACTGTTGCTCCATCTAAAATCACAGCAAATGTTATATCTTACCTTAGCAGACGTCTCAAACCAGCCCACAAATCCATTCTCCTTGCAGTACTGGTCCATCTTCAGGCCGTTGTTAGTCAGAAAGTCTCTATTTTGGTCGCACTTATTGGCCAGGAGCACTGTGGCGACACTCTGGCCATTTGAAAGTATTAATTTTGAGTCCAGATCCTCCTTCCATTTGGAGACTGCCTCAAACGTGGTGGGTCTGGTAACATCAAAAACAATGAATGCCCCCATGGCCTCCCGGTAATAAACCCGCGTCATGTTCCCGAACCTCTCCTGACCTTCCAGTGCAGATGGAGAGGGAGGAAAAAAGGTACAAACCAATTGGGAAAAGCACAACACAACAAGCCAAATGCAGCACAGATATATATTTCTGTTCAAATGTTTTGGGTTGGTAAGATTTTTTTGTTTTGTTTATGAGAGGTCTCACCAAGCAAGGCTGCATTTATTTGATCAAAAATACAGCAAAAACAGTCATTTTGTGAAAGAATTTACAATTCAAAATAATATTTTTTATATTTGAATATATTTCTACTTGTAATGTATTCCTGTGATGCAAAGCTGAATTTTCAGCATCATTACTCCAGTCTTTTTTATTATTATCAATGTTAATACACATTTTTTTTGGAGACCTTGATACAGCTTTTTCAGGATTCTTTAATGAATAGAAAGAACAGCATTTATATTTTTTATTATTTGTTTCTCCTCTTGTTTTATCTCTCTTTTTTATCTCTTTCTTTATTTGTATCCCTTTGAAAGTGTCGAGTTTGATACACTGGTTTTTGAGGTGCTGTTTTGTAATATTATAAATGTCTTTACTGTCACTTTTGATCGATTTAATGCATCCTTGCTGAAAAAATCTTACTGACCCCAAACCTTTGAACACTACACTAGTGTTGTATAAATAAATTGCATAGACAGACACAGTAAGATATTTTAGCAGCTCATGCCAGACACTCAAATTCTAAGAAAAGGCCTGTGCCAAGATAAATTTGGCATGATTACATTTATTATAATGAATCTACTGGACAAAAACACATGAGTCTATACAATTCATTGTGTAATTTCCAGCAATGTGTGCATCGTTCTGAGCAGTATCCACAGCAAACTTTCTTGTTCTTCTTATTCAGTCGAATATGCTCATTATAGGCCTACTGCTGATTTTTCCAGCTAATGGCACATTCCATCTGTGTGCCTTTCTCTTGTCTGACTCTGAATGCAGCCACTCTTCTGGGCTGCCAACATTACACAACATTCCCTAGGACAGCTGTTTCCCTCAGTTAGTTCTGTTATTTATTCCAAATTAGAATCAGGAGGTGCACTGCATGTTGATCTCCATGAGTCTGACAGCAGTCTGCTTCACACTAGATGGACCACGAAACACGAGATGCTGTATTGGTTTTGATAATCAGATATTTCAGATATCAGATATAATCTGGCTTTTGAGATATTACACAGGTGTTGTACAACAACAACAATGAATTATGAATAATGGATTATAATGTAAATCATCAATCAAGTTGAGTTTATGAAATCATTTGCACTAGAAAACGTCAGTGCTTCTGTTACTGCTATCGTTGATTTAAATTTGATTAAATTGTTATGGTCACCTTGACAACATGTGCGTGCGTTCAGAGAAAACTGTCACTAACAAGGAAAATGAACTCACTCAGCATGTTTCACTTCATGAAATTGTATGTCAGATGACTTCCAGCTAGGGCAGCAATGAGGAGTTTATGAAGCCCATGCGGAGTTTATGACTCTATGTATGACAGTTTCTCATCTAATTTCTCAACAGTGGCTGGAAGTAGCTAGAGTAGACTAACCCGTTTGCTTTCCCCACAATGTCATCCGCGTGCTTTATCTCTCTCACATGAGACCTTTCCATTCGGGCACGCGGAAAACGAGTTCTTTAAGCTGCGCGTGCCTGACACGTGAGGACGATAAACATAGAAGAGAAGAGACTTCTGGTTTGGGTTGGATACGTATTTTGCTGCAGAATAAGATCAACTAACATTACATTTAACGTCGTTAAGCCTTAATGGACTAATCTGATATTGAAATTGAGCTGCACTGAAGTTTTACGGACCAGTGTTCCACGGCTAACCACACAAAACAACCAAAATAACCAATAATTTATTTACGATTTAAAACTATTGGCTTACATTTGGTGGTTTTATTTTAAAGTTCCTAATTGTTCAGGCTGTCAACAAAACAGCAAAAAAAAAAACTATACAAAAACTGTTAAATTATTTTCCATTAAAATCTACTAGTATTTTTAGAGCGTACATTTTTAAGTAGGCCTTTACGACGCATGTGTATGTAGCCTGTATTTATTTATTTACTGACAGTTAACCTGAGTTAAAGACAGGCTAACCTCTCAAAGTTTAATAACAGTAGGCCTACATTTTGGCGGAATCAATATGGTTAGTAGATGTAAGGACATTTAACGGAATAAACTTTTATTTCATCACGTGAGGTAAATAGGGTACTTAAAAATAGTACACTTCCTTCATTCTCATTATTTTTCAGCATACATGTTGGCACGGATGTGTCTCGGACACACTACTGTAGATACATTCTCTTACCTGCGATGTCCCACAGCTGCAGCCGGACCGTCTCTGAGTCCCAGTTGAGAACTTTGAGCGCAAAATCCACCCCGATAGTCGCTCTGTAGTTTGCGGAGTACGTCTGATGCACATACCGTTTGATGATGCTGGTCTTCCCTACTCCCAAATCACCAATGACAAGAATTTTGTACAAATGCTCTTTCTGATTGCTATGCATCGCTGAGGACATGTGTGTGTCCAGAGTTTATCACACTACATAGTCATCTGTCAATTGTCATTGAACTTAAACTGGCACCGCCCAGGGCGTGGAGAAACTTGTGACCAGCTGTCAGACAAGCTCTGTTTGCTCATGTGAGCAAGATTACCTGTTATTCTGCGTTTACTCATGAGGAAATCTATCTATCTATCTATCTATCTATCTATCTATCTATCTATCTATCTATCTATCTATCTATCTATCTATCTATCTATCTATCTATCTATCTATCTATCTATCTATCTATCTGTCTGTCTGTCTGTCTGTCTGTCTGTCTGTCTGTCTGTCTGTCTGTCTGTCTATCTATCTGTCTGCATGTCTGTCTTTCTATACAGGAATCTATCTATCTATCTATCTATCTATCTATCTATCTATC